GTATAAATGAGATATTTTGGTATAATTCACCATACACCAAGCAGAAAAACGTCCATAAACTCAAATAAAATAATCTGAATAGTCATGAAGTTATCATATATCATTGAGGTATTAACAAACTTGGTGCAGTCAAAATGCTGTCAACTTCCTTCCACCTTTCTTCCAGGCGGTGACCAGGCTCTTGGGCTGTATCTCCTTAGTTCAGCTACTCTCACCACCTTTCCTAAAACTTGTCCAGACATACTCAGGAGCTGCCAGTTCAATTAAATGCAAGAAATACTTACTATCCAAGTTAAGGTGAATTGGCAGCTTCCATACTCACACAAGCCATAATGCACCTAATCTGGATGACCCTGATGGAGCATTCTGACCACCTATCTAGGCTGCATGACCAGGTTTCCTAAATAAATGGAAAGCAATGAGTATCCTCTGAAAAATCAGAGAATCACAGAGTTGTTAGGGTTGGAAAGGACCACCGGAGATCATATAGTCCAATCCCCCTGCCAAAGCAGGGTCACCTGTAGCAGATGACAGGACCGTGTCCAGGGGAGTTTGCAATGTCTCCAGAGAGGGAGACTCCACAGCCTCCCTGGCAGTGTGTTCCAGTCCTTTGCCACCCTCAGGGGAAAGTTTTTCCTCATAGTGAGGTGAAATTTCCTGTATTTTAGTTTACCTATTGGCCTACAGAGTAATTTGTAAATTATTCTACTTATCTTATGCCTTGGCACGTAGGAGAAATACTAATGTTCCCAGCAGTGGAAACAAGCAGGATGCCCAAACCTAACCAATTAAATGTATTAGTCACTGCTAAAGTTTTGACAAAGGCGAATAAATCATGATTTTTTCCACTGAGTAACACATATGTTTTGCTGCTGAACGTTTTCATCCTCTTATCTCATCCCCTTACGCCATTATTTGATACTTCTTGTAAAGATTAATTAGCTCTTACCAAGTGATATGCAGAAAGAGTTACGTAGAGAGAGCTTTTAGCCTGCCCCTTCTACGAGCATACCGCAAGCCTCTCGGTTTGACCCTGCCCAGCCTCTCCCCGAAGAGCCGCCGCCGCCCTCACCTGAGCCCTCGGGCGTCCACGGCCTGCACGTAGAAGTACCGCGCGGGGAGCGCGGCCGCGGCGCGCAGCCCGGGCCCCCACACGGCGCTGCGCTCGGCGCTCGGCCGCCCGGCCCCGCCCGCCGCCGCCGCGGCTCCCAGGGCGAGGCACAGCGGCCACAGCGCACTCATCGGCAGCGCTGCCCCCGAAGGACGAACACCGCCGGCACCGGCCTGCTGCCCTCGGCCCGCCGCCGGGCAGTCCCGCCCCCGGCGCGGCTCCGTGGGGCGGTGCCGCGGCATCGCGGGGCGGCGCTGCCGGGAGGTGCCGGCCCATTGGGAGGCGCCGGCTGAGACCCCGGGAATTACTGGGACCCAGCACAGAAAGAGCTGGGTGCAGCTGGCGGCCCGCGGCCGTGACGTACGCGTCCGGACATCTCTGAGCCGCTGCTTAACCCGTGCCATGAGCTGATGCTCTTCCTCCCGCCCCACAGCCGCCCTTCACTCCCTTCCCAAACATTAGGGTGGGAAATGGAATTTACAATCAGGAAAATGTGTTTTCAAAATCCTTCCCAGAGCAGCTGGAGATGAAGAGCTTCTTTGCAGTGAGGGTGGCAAAGCCCTGGAACAGGCTGCCCATGGAGGCCGTGGAGTCTTCCTCTCTGGAGACATTCCAAACCCGCTGTGTTCCCATGCCACCTGCTCCAGGGGACCCTGCCTTGGCAGGGCAGTTGGATTAGGTGATCTCCCAAGGCCCCTTCCTCCCTTAACAGATTTGTGGCTCTGTGATGTGTGGCTGCCGGTAGTGCAGGTCTGTGATTCTCTGGAGCAGAGGTGAGGGGGCACCTCACCCACTGCCACCAGGGCAACTGCCCAGTGCAGGCCTTTGGTGATTCCATGGCCCTTTGTCTGTCAAGTAATCCAGCCTCCAATTGCAGAGAGCTAGTCCCAAACACTAATGCCTTTCTTAACTACATACAGAATCATCTAGGTTGGAAAAGACCTCTAAGATACTTTCAACTTGGCTCCTTACTGCTTCTCTCTTGTTAATGCAAACAATAAAGAAAATTGAAACTCATCAGCAAGGACCCATGAATTTCAAAAAGATTTTGTATTTATCATTTTGAAATACTGCAAATATGCTTTTAGAGAAAAGCACACAAAAATGCCTTGTTTGAAGAAAATTTCAAGTTCAGAAATGACAACTTGGGTTGATGAAGAGAGTCTTTTCTAACTAACAATGTCATTACAAAATGCCTTAAATATTATCAAGCTCTAGCTTTTAAATACATAAGTTTTGCTCTGTTATGTTCTCATTGACATGAGTTTTCAGGACATTCAGCAGCTAGAAGACTTAAAATTTCCTGTCTAAAAATTCACACATGGATATTGTATATCCATGACCCTTTAGCTCCTCTCGTTTCCCCATCTTTACTCTCCTGATGTGTTTTACAGGCAGAAATCACACTCCTTCTCAGCTTATATTTTGCTGTATGAGAGAAGCCAGTCTCCTCTAGTGGAAGAGAAATTTAAACATGTTTTTAATGTAAAAGAAATTTGATAGCTGTAGAATTTGCAGATCATGCTTCCTCCTCTCAGCAGGATGGCACTGACATGTTAAAAAAAGCACAGCAGCAATAAAGTAAAGGTGACACACTTCCACCCTCCTTCAGCTTTTTTTCTCCCCACATAAGTGCAGTTCAGGGAATCCATGCAGAGATTTGGCACTATTTGTCAGCACCCAAACAAGTTATAAGATAAATCATGCAACCTAATTTTAGTCTTGGCTTGCAAAGCCAACATCACTGCTATCCTAATGCCTATAATTTGGCTCAGATAAAAACGCTTTAGAGGCAGAATTATTTAATTATACCAAAGGCTTTTGGCCGACTAAGGCTCAACAGGCTTCCAGCTGGCAAAGGCATAAGGGATGCTCTCCTTTACAAGGGGCAGGTTGTCTCAGGATGAAGCCACATAAACTACAGAATGTGATCTAGGTCTTCTCATGTTCAGGGGATGGCAAACATGGCTGTGCCCACAATTGCTCGAGCACTTTGGCAATTCACCTCTGCCTGACCACTGAGAACAATCAAATAACACTAACAATTCAGGAGATATGAGATTCTGTTTTTTTTCCATTAATTGCAGCACCTCTCACAGAAAGTATTGCTGGGAGTAGAGGCTCTGTGGACTGAAGACAGTGACATAATTGCCAGGAGTGGGTCTTCTGTCAGCAGGACATTGTATAAGTTTTTGATATTTTATTTAAAATTTTATAATGACTTTTTCATAAAATCAATCGGAATATTTAAAAATTAATTAATTTTACATATTTGGGGCTGTAGCAGAACAGCTCCAGTTGCTTCTTCAGTGTCACTGTTTGTTCATGTTGACTGCAGTGACAAATATTGACAGTGGTTCCAGACAGTGTTACCTGAAATAAACTTTTGTTCCTTCGTACATTTTTACAGGAGCATTGTTGTTACACGTGTTCTTACTACTGTGAGGGGAACCGAGAGAACACTGGTGCAAATATAAGTTATCCGGTCCAAGCTCCCTGCCCAGGCAGGATCAGCCCAGAACACATTGCACAGGATTGCATCCAGACAGTTCTTCAGTATATCCAGTGAGGGAGACTCCACAACCTCTCTGGCCATCTGTTCCAATGCTCGGTCACAAGCACAGTAAATAAGTTCTTCCTCATATTCAGGTCGAATTTCCTGAGCATCGGTCTCAGCCCGTTGCCTCTCGTTCTGTTGCTCCGCACCACCGAGCAGAACCCGGCTCCATCCTTTCGGCACCCTTCCTTGCATACTTATTGATGAGATCCCTTCTCAGCGTCTCTTCTCGAGGCCGAGGAGGCCCACGTCCCTCAGCCTGTTTCTCACTATTCTGCGCCGAGCCCTCACACAGGCGGCGCTTCCCTCCCCCGCCATCCCCGACCTGCTCCTCCCCTCCCTCGCCCGCCCGCGGGGCACCAGCGGGCGAGACCATGAGGGCGCATGTGGGGGGGAGGGCGACCGAAGAGGCGCCGCTCACGGCGCCGAGGCGCAGCCGCGGCCCAGCCGGGAGGCGCTCGCCGCTGGTTCCTCCGAGGCGCCCTGAGGGCCCGCAGCGGGAGCGCGGCCGCCGGGCCCTCCGCGCCTGCCCCGTCCCCGTGCGGCGGCGGGAGTTGGTGCGGGCCGGCGGCGGAGGAGGCGGGGGGCGGCGGGGGCGCGCAGGTGAGCGCGCGGCTGTGTCTGCTTCCGGCGCGCCCGCCGCCCCGCTCCGCCGCGCCGGGGAGGCGACGCTGGCAAGCCGCGCTCCGCGCAGGTAACACGGGCCGGGGGCAGCCCCGCCGCCCCTGCCGCCGCCGCCCCTCGCAGGGGTTCGGGAGGGGAGCGAGCCCGGGGACCCCTTCCCCCGGCCCGCGGCTGTTCACTCTGGAGCCGACTGGCGGCAGCGCGGGGGGAGGGGCGGGCGCCTGGATGTGTCGGGGCGCTCCGCCAGGCGGAACCCGGCCGGGCGCGGGGGACAGGGGCGCTCCCGGGGCGCTGCCGGTGCGGGGCAGCGGCCCGAAGCCGGTGTTGCAGGAGGAGGCTGTGGAGGGGAATTCCTGCCTCCCTCGCGTCAGGTTCCCATCTGAGGCGCGTGTCTGCAGACGTGCGAGCTGCTGAGATGACAGATAACACACACGCTGTCAGCTTGCCCTTTAAAAATGCTCGTTTAAAGCAAGCCAGCCAGCCGTCTAAATTTGTTTTTGGTAATTCTTAGCCGCCATAAACAAAACCTGTTTTTTTTTCTCACGTCTTGAAGAATAAGAGGCACGTAAAAATAAAAGGGAACCTTTAACAGCTATAGGAGGAAAGCACTAGAACAGATTGAGGATGGTGTTGTCAATTTACAATCGATAAGGTTATAGTTACTGTAATTGTATGCTTGAACTACACTTGCAGTAAAAGTTTGCAGCATTCAGCACAATTAAGACCTTAAATTTCTGTATGATGATTTATTAATTTGTATAAATTATTCTGTACTCCACAGTGTAATGTGATGGTAAGGGATAGAAGAGAGCAACCACAATCAAGAACTTGTAGAAAGCTTTTAATTTTTTTTTTTTATTCATGTGCTGATTTATAAGTCTAATTATTTATTGTGTCCTCATCATGGTATCACTGTGGTGTATACTGTTGGCACCTCACAAATGATAAAAAGTGTATGTAAAAATTGTAGAGTTCTAGAGATGCTTAGGGAAAGATACCACGCGGGTTGTGGTATCTTGAAGGGTATTTCAGCTTTTACTGGCTATGAGTTCAGAGATAAGCTTTGTGTATATTTTATGCTGATTGAGACACCTGTACTAATGTTACATTTTTTTCAGGTACCTCGTTGATACCTTGCAGAGGCAATGGAAGCAATGATGAAAACCCTGTTGTAATTAAAGCATTTAAAAAAAAGTATTCTTTGCTGTGCAATACTCTTAGTATCATTCAATGCCTACTATTTCAGAAGATGAAAAAGAAAATGGTTCTGGAAGTAATGGAAACACTGAAAACAGACCTGGAAAAGAATCCCCGGAAGCTTCTCTTCACGATCCTGTGAAGCCGTACTGCATGTCAGACGCCTCCACTGCATCCTTGGTGTCTAGAGAAGATGGGCATTATCCATGGGGATGTCCTGTGACTCATACAAGAGAGAAATTTTATACCATCTGCTCAGACTATGCTTTTTTAAACAGAGTAACATCTATTTGTAAAAGTCCAAGTGCTTCAGTTAGTGCCTGCCTATCAAGTAGTGCTGCCTTAAACGTTGGAAATAACACACCTAACTTACTCAGCATTCAAACTGGTGCTTCAGAGATTATCTACAATGAAGATGCTAACTTGGAAAGCCTGCCTGGCAATCTTGGAAAGCTTCCACTGGCATGGGAAATTGACAAATCTGAGTTTAATGGCGTGAACTCAAATCTGAAGAACAAAGCAGGTGAGGTGGTGAAGTTTTGATGTGAAAGAAAAAGGCTTCATGTTTCTGGTTTGTTTGTGAAGGGAGCTGGCCAGCACGTGTTCTGTGAGGAACTTCCATAGAAGAGCCTGTACTTTGTTTCAAGGAACTTGCTCATCAGGACAGGAGAGAGAGAGGAGTGAAAGTCGAGTGTAACTGCCAAGGGAAGTGAATCCAAAGCAAGGCTGATTTCTGCTTAACTGTGTACTATTTGGTGTGGTTTCTGGTGTCCTCACCCCATAATCCTCCCCCTGTGTTGTTGGAGTGGTTTTTTTTTTGTTTGTTTGTTTGTTTTGTTTTAGTAGGATCTAGTATATTATGCATCTGGATGTAGGGCTTCAAAGGAGGACAAAAATATTTCTGCTGTAGCACATGGCCCCGCTCTCCATTTTCAACTGTCACAGTGGCTTATGAAAAGGAAAAGACCTTGGGTGTATATAATTATTAATGGATTTGCATATAAGTTTTTGTCAGAAGCTGTAGCTGGTTGCAAGGCTAGCAGTCAAAAACAAGCATTTCATTATGTTCCCTGCCTTCATAATGTTAGGAGATGGGAGGTCCATGTTGGTCTGAGAGTCTATTTCTGGGATGGGTGATTTAATGCATTAGAATAATCAGATTGACATCTCTCTAAACAGTTGGGCAGGTCATCATTAATTCTATCAATGATCTAAACACCATGTTAGTTACAGACCTAATAGCAAGCAGCTTTACAAAGCTGCTTTAGACAATTAGACTATTGACAATTTAGATTATGTATTTGAGTTTTCTCCTTTCAGTTAATGTTTAGTCCCAGTTTATGCTTACTAACACAACCGGTGTATCTATTTGAGCTGTATACTATTACTAAAAGTATTCAAGAAGAAAGCTATGGATGGCAAACTAGACATTCACTTGATTCTGAAATTTGATTTACAGGCAACATGAAGAAACAAGGGACGAAGAAAAAATCTGTGGACAAAAAAAGCAAACAATACAGGGAGTGTCCTCAGCGTTCAGCTCTTGAAGACGTGAAGGAGAGAAAAGTATTGGACCTTCGGAGATGGTATATTTATGAACTCCTTTATGAAGTTACGAATTTATGAACTACACTAACCATGTAGTTTCTCAGTAAACACTGTTGCTAGTTACCTGATTTCAAACTTCTCAGTAATGTCTTTGTAATTTTTTTTTTAGTAGAGATGTTAAGCATACACACACTGTCTCATGCATTCCAGAAGAAAAATTAGAGCTTCCCTCACATCTGTTGAAATTCTCAAAACATTTTTTTTCTAAACATTCCTGTTACTTTCAGCAAAGGGAAAAACTTACAAGGGGATTCATTGCAAAACAAAATACAAGTTCAGTAGCATGGATAGGCAGAGAGTAACCTTAAATGTACCACTGATATGTTTTACTTCTGATTTTACTTTTTATTGGGAAATACTTGCTCAGCATCTGAAATTTCTATACAACCATAACTGTATTAATATAGCTGACTAATTCAATTAGTTTAATGCATCTGTCTGATTCTAACTTTACATCTGTGACACCAGAAAGTTGGAGTTAACCTAGGGAATCTGTGGCCCAGAATGGCATTCATTAGTAAATTGGTAGAAATGCGGTTTGCCACAAGTGTGTGTGTTAGAAGGGACTGGATAAAACCATTTTTATATTAGTACAGAATCATACTTTCCTACAGGATCATTTGTACAGAACTCCCATGGGGCTGTTATAAATTTGATTTATATGAGATAGGGTAGTGGCATCTGGCAAAGAAATTAATTAACATATTTGCTTAATTTTTGTTTTTAAGGATAGAGTTGTTTTGGATGTTTTGTTTGCTTTTTATTTTAATACAGGTGATATAGAAACATCAAAATAACATGGCACTTTAGTGACGTGGCACACAAAAAAGTAGTTCAGGTTTGTTATATACATGAGTCAAAATTGCGTTACTAATATGTTTGAGGTTTTTTGTTTAAGGTATTGTGTTAGCCGACCTCAATACAAGACTTCCTGTGGAATTTCATCCTTAGTGTCTTGCTGGAATTTCTTATATAGTACACTAGGAGCTGGAAGGTAAAGTCACACACAGACTGCTTTGCTTTGCCTCTAGAGTGTCAAAACTATGTTTCTGATCACAGCACCTTTTTTTTTTTTTTTAAAGTTTACCCCCCATCACTCAAGAAGAAGCCTTGCATATACTGGGCTTTCAGCCCCCATTTGAGGAGATTAGGTTTGGTCCCTTCACTGGAAATACAACTCTGATGAGGTATGTTTGGGTCTTTTGATGCAGTTAAGAGATAGAACCTTTAAAAATTCAGGAGTAGTTCATGAATTTAAAAACAAAGCAGCTGACACATTAATCCTCTTAAGTTTTAGAATAAAGAAGCATACCTGAGAACTCTGACCATGAAACTTCTTAAAGAGTTGTTTGCACTGGCCAATTTAAATCGTGTGATGTTGTTACACAGGTCAGGTCAATGTGAAATGCTATTTGATTTTTGGTTCAGTTTGTGTAATGGTTATATAATACTCTAATTCTAGTCTCCTGATTAGGAAACTTCCTCTTTACACTTATTTTCCTATTTTTGAAAGTGCATGTTAAATGCTTGCTAATATCACTGAAATGGCCTGAAAAGACAATTGCTACACTGTTTGCTTAATATAAAATGTAATTTAAGAATTGAAAAGGAGATAGTGCTGAATCCTTGCTGCAATGGAGCTGTTCAGGAACAAAAACAAGGGCTTGGAGTCAGAGAACACTTTGAAATTTTTTATCACTTCTGCTCCACTGTTTCCTGATACTTAAAGGTTGGACGTAAATTCTTTATTTAGGTTTATTTTTGTGGTATTAAATTAATAAGACATTTGAGGATAAAACAGAGCCAAGAACCATATTGTACTTGAGTGCTGAACATTTTGACAGGGCTTTGGAGTGTTACCTTTTGGTGAGATTAAAAACTTTTGCAGTATTCCTGCTTGCTTCATGGGTTATATTCGGTTTCATTAATTTTTTAGGGCAATATATAGTATTTGGCAGCTGAGGGTTGTGCTGGATTTGAAAATGTGGCAGCAGTCTATTCTCCATCTAGCATACTGGCTAGATAATTGGAAAATATAATGAAAATTTAGTAAATTCAGCTTTTAGTAAATTTAGCTTTAGTAAATTCAGATCCAGGATTTGTATCTCTTCAGGAGTATGTCACGGTGTAGCAAGTCTTACAGACAAAGCTGATCTAATGTTCTGTCTCTTCATGTCAACAGTCTATACAGACAAAAGTTAAACTTATAATTCTTATTTGACTTCTTCTTTGAGCATTCTCTATGCAGCAGAGAAGTTACCCATCTTTTTGGTTTTTTTTTTTTTTTTCATGCCTGGTCCAATAATTTTGAAGTGCTTGGCAGATTGGGAAACAGGGCTGGGAGCTAGCCCCATTACCCAACATAGCTTTATGACTGAGATATTATCTTCAAACATGTGAATTTGAATCTTCTAATTTTCCACTTCTAATGTGGAAAAATTGCTGGCCTGTCCTCACTTAGTGCTGCAGTGAGGAGTTTCAGTGTGAGGCTCCTGTAATGCTCAGGCTTTGTGACGTTTAGGTGAGAGAAATCCAACAGGATAAGCAGCAAGTCTCACTTGAAGGGTCCCTTCTGTTGTCTTGTATTTCATTTATGTACCCTACAAGTCACGGTTGAAGTTTGGTACCTCAGAATTTATGTGTCTTGCTAAAGGCTGAGTAATTGAACATTAGAAGTGACTGGGCTAAATACAATAGGACTAACACTTCACATCCATATCTTTGGTTGTTGTGTATCTATGTCAAGTCTGGAAAAGCAAAAGGAAGGAAAAGGCTCTGTGTATTTATTTCTCTGTCTAGGATATGTTAAGTTTTGTATTGGGTACTGTGGTCATCTACAATCTAAATATTAATGAGGTAGGTACTTAGTAGCACACCAAGATTTTTTTTCCTAAACTGTCAAAGCACAGGAAAAGTGTGAGAAATGAAATTGCATCTAATAACTCTTGAGTTACTACAACCTTTAAGCTTATTGTTTCAGATGGTTTAGGCAAATAAATGATCACTTCCATATCAAAGGATGCTCATATGTTCTGTATAAGCCTCATGGGAAGAACAAGACAGCTGGAGAAACTGGTACGTAGCTAATGCTAAAGTATTAATCTTAAAGTGTATAAATTGAAAAATCCTGCAGTGTGTAGCATTTGACAGGACGAAGTCTGTAAGTAGTACTTCCAGTCCAGTATAAGGTATCAAATAGCTCCAAGTTGACTGTTTTTTCTGGTTTTACTTTTTCTCTTATTTAGCTAAAAATTTCATTTATACTTTTGTTATGATAGAATGCATTCTGCTATGTATTAGATTGTCACAGAATTGGAATTTTAAGATAGCTGGGAAAACAACTGCATTTCCAGTTCCGTGTTGTGGTGTGTGGGAAGATTTCTTTGCTGTCATCCACTGGGAGGACAAAAAGAATTTGTCCTTACTTAATATTTTATGCTTTTAAAATCCCAGTTTTAAAGGTAATGAACTTACCTGTTCTGCCTGGCTGTAGCTAACATCTCTCTCTAAAGCTAGGTGATTATTCTCAATCAGCATATGAAGCTGCATTTTTGTCTACTTTTTAGGTGTGCTGTTTAAAAAATTTTACTTTCATGCGCACTTTATTAGCATTCAGTATGGTCTGGATAATTACCTTCTAACTGAAAGGTTCTTTGAAAGCACAAAATCACACGAAAAAGTTTTAGATATTATTAAAGTGGATTTTTTTTCTTGCATACCTCTATATGTTCCTGAGACTAGGATGCTCCAAGAGGCTCAAGATACCAAAATGTTTGAGTGTTTTCAGTATTATCATCAATGTGTGCCACATCTGACTTAGGGCAGCTAGGGCTGCATTGTGTTGCAGTGTGTATTTCCTAGGTTAAGAGATACTTTTGGTTCCTTTTTAAATTTGATTTTGATCTAAACATAAAGCATACTTTATATTGCATTTCCCTGGTACACACTGTGCAGCAGATAGTGTTTAATTTCCTGCCTGATACAAAAACGTAATAAGTTCGAAATCAAAAGTGCATTTTGTGCATGCCTGTCAGGTCATGTCCTCCCACTTAAAAATCAGTGTAACTACTTTGTTGTCAAATAGGTCTTTTTTTTCTGCTGACTGTTACACAGGATCCAAAGCACCCTGGCCTGTAACCTGATCTTTCTGTGTAGCTGCAGGGGCTCTAGCAAAGTTAACGCGTGGACTGAAAGACGAATCAATGGCCTACATCTACCATTGCCAAAACCATTATTTTTGCCCAATTGGATTTGAAGCAACCCCAGTAAAAGCTAGTAAAGCCTATAGGTAAGATACTGTGTTTATGCTTATTTTAGTGGAAGAAACACAAAAACTTACTGCAAATTGATAGTTTTTCTCCATAAATAATGGTTCTGCTTGTGTCATATAGAGCTTATAGGTAAGATACTGTGTTTATGCTTATTTTAGTGGAAGAAACTCAAAAATCTACTGTAAATTGATACAATTTTTCTCCATAAATAATGGTTCAGTTTGTGTCCTATAGGCACCTGTCTGAGCTAGAAAAACACTACAATGTGCTTTGACAGGACTGACTTAAAATGAAACATAACTAAACAGACTATATTGAGAGAACTTTAAAACAGAAAACTCTTAAGTGGTATTAAGAAATTATTTTTTTAAGACCTTCTAGCCATGTAGAGAGAAGGTGGTTATTTTATTGAAGGACAAATGAAGGTAACTAATCTGAAAAATAAAAATATATGGGCTGAAAAAAGGCCAGATGGGGTTTTTTTTAAGGCTAAACAATAAAAAGCCAGCTAATTATAGGGAGAATCTGTTCCTAGAGAGCTTGGAAGGGAAAACAAAGTGTGTGTATGTTGCAATTTTCCTTTATAAACTAGAAGCAAAAAGTCTACAGTGATATTAATCCTTCATGAGGTGAATGTGATGAAATTTACATTTAGAAACTAGTGCTTGTTATGGAAAGATCAGGGGTTGTGTAGATATCACAGGATGGTGGTTATGTAATTTTGTTGCATTAATGTTGACTAATGGTGATGGTAAACTCCAACTACTGGCACGTAAGGCATAGAAGACAAAGATGTGTGAAGAATTTGTTACCAGGAATTGAGAGGGAACGGGGCGGGGAAAAGCCAGAAGAGATCTTTGGGCTAAGACATTAGGTCTGGCTTTTTTTAACAATGCTTGAAATGCTGGAATATTTCTATAAGCTTAACATGCCAGTTATTTTAGAATAAAAATACAGTTCCCTGTATACTGATTTCAGATTTGTCAGAGTGACACTACTAGGATAATATAATGCAATAGTTGATGCAGTTTTCAATTAAAAGCAGATTTAAAAAAAGGTAATAGCATTAATATTCATATGGAATTTAGGGAGAGTCTAGCATTAAACCCACAAATTTTAACTTTGCAAATATTAATTCTTGAGATATGTATTAGCTTTTGTAAGGCATTTACCTTGCTGCTTGATGTAGAGTGCTATATTTGTAGAGTACTCTGTGGACTCTCTTGAGGAGAGTAGTTTGTTTTACCTCATTCACCAAGTCATATTAAGCTGTTTTTCCTCTCTCAAAGCAGTTGCTAACCTGGTATGTGTTAAAGGATTCTTTGGAGTTTCTCTGTGTTCAGCCATTGGTCAGTATTTATTAGTGTTATCATAGAGCATAAGTAGTCAGTCCCTGAAGAAATTAACAGATAGCAGAACTGGGGAATGTTAAATGATGAAAAGCATACATCAATAGTATAAGGTGAACTTCTGCCTATTTGCTTACTGAGCAGTCTGACTTTGACTTTGTTGAAGAAGTAGGGTCACATCAAGGAAGAGAGAATGCTAGCTCTACTTTTAGAGTTCAGAATGATCATTGATTGGGGTGATAAAGCATAATCATCTGAATCTAACTGGTTGCCAGTGTGAAGCTTATGATAAAGTTAATGAAAGCTTTTAAAATATGAACAAAAGAATACAGGTTTTTTATTGAGACTGAGTTCACTGACTTGCCAGGTTTGTGAGAAGAGTGTAAAAAAATAGTCCCCAAGTAGCAATCCAACACATAAGTCTACTTGAGTTTACCAAAATGTTAATCTCTTGCTTACTCAATCAGTTAGGAAGAATCTGCACTAGAAGAACAAAGTAAAAAAAAAGTCTACTAGATCAAATCTGAGAAATAATATGGTCCAATGTGTGGAAGCATAACATGCCTTTTAACTAATATAAATTTATATTGTTTAATAATGAGTGAGAACAACTTTCATTCTTTACCCATGGCTGAAATGGATTCTTAGTCACTAGTGATGTTATTTTTAAGTTAATATTAGCTTTCTTTCTTAACAACAGTTCTCTTCTAAAAAATGTAACATGAAATAATAAGTTCAGGAAGCTTTTATAGCCTTACTTTAGGCTGGAGGTCAGACCAGATGAGCATCCTGATTTCTTTGTGTTGTCTGCTCCTACTGAGGAAAAAAAAAGTTTTGTTTTCAGAAGGACTAGCATTAGATTCTGGAACAGTTCTTGTTTATCTGTTTTTACACTCTACTTACTAAGTTTTTATTTAAAAATCAAGCTAAGAAACATTTTAGGTCCCAAAAGAAGTGGTGGATAGGTTGCTAGGCTGAGCTTAGAGACAGTTCTTAGGTCACCCACAGACTTCCTGTATGATCTTAGGTTGCTGGATTTGGACTCGGGAGACCTGGGTTCAGTTCCCAGTTCAACCACAGACTTCCAATGTGACTTTAGGTAAGTCAATCAATCTGTCCTGTGTCTTGGTTTCCCATCTTTGCACTGATGGAATGCAGTGTTATTTTACAGGAAATTTTACAGGAAATTTTATGTAAGTAAACAAATTGTTCCAAGCAATAAGACCATATGCTGTCTAATACCCTAGGAAGAAAAATGTGAGGTTTTGTCACAGTTGAAATTGATGTTGTTTTTCATGAGATAATTATACACAGGAAGTCACAGAGCAGTGCAGTGTATCTTGTCAGTTCTGCCCTAATACCTGTCAAAAATTTTCCTTGACAAGGTTACTGCAAGCTTCTTGGAAGTTGATTGCAAAGTAGTATTAATTCAAAGGTTTGGATTTTAGTACCTGGTATTGGATATTTAGAAGGAAGCACTTGGAAGTCGCCGGTTTTGTTCTTACAGGTTACCCTACAGCTCTCAGTAACAGCTATCAGCCAAGGTATAGTTTAAAAATAATGGAAAGGACTCTCATGACTGTTAGACATCACAGATATGGAGGAAGCTGTTTATACCACATTTGTGGCATTCCACAACTCTTATTTCTGTTGTTTCCTATATACTTATGTTTGCATCATGTATCAGACTGTCTTTCATCCAAATAAAGCTGCTTTTAGTGAAAGTCTGTCTTCCTCCCAAATAACCTGTAGAAGCATCCCCAAGGTTTGCTTTCAGGCCTTGAAACAAAGGGTTCCCTGTATGCAATTGCAAGCGCTATAGCAATGGAGCTGGTTTTTGGTTTGGCTGGGGAAAAATTTTTAAATGTTAGAAAATACTAAAAAGAAGAAACCGTTAATAGCTTTTTCTTTTTAGTATGCACAAGAAATCTTACTAGAATTTATCTTCTATTGAACAGGGGTCGTGTCTTGCAGCAAGAAGTAGAATATTGGATCTTAATTGGAGAGCCCAGCAGAAAGCATCCAACAATACATTGTAAAAGGTATGTTACTTGGTAAGAATGTCAAACAATATTTTCTTTCAAAACAGTATGTAATTCTCTATTCAGAGTCACTGAGTGACTTTTTAGTTCTTTTTAATGAATATAAATATGTGTATATATATGTATCTAATAGAAACAGATGCTGCTTTAGTGAGTTTGACCTCAAGGCTGGCCCTGAAGTTATGTTGCCTGTCAGAACATATGTGGGCTGCTGAGAGGCAAAGCCCATATCTCTTGTTTGAGTGTGACACAGCTCATATTAGTCAAGAAGACAGGGCAGTCTCAGTCTACCGTCATGCCAGTTGTGACTTAGAGACTGCATGGCCCTTGGAGGAGTTTACATTGGAGCTGAGGACATTCACAGGCTATGTCTGGGCTGTGCACAGAATGTTCTGCTGCTGATGAGATATCCTAGCTCGAGTGCAGGTGCAGCCTGTACTCTGTTGTGTTATTTGCTTATCTGTGCATTCAAACAGTACATTTATGATGTTGTTTGACACAAACAAATTGTTGCCTAAATTAGATATGCAGACTAGGAGAACAAGAGGGTGCTTTGTAGAAATATCATGGATTATTTATATTTAATAATCTTTTTTGTCAGTGATATATGAGCTTGTCAGTAACTTCAAACACCTGGGTATTCTGGACCACGAGATTAAGTGCAACAAAATTAAAATCACATTATGCATCTGATTAATGAAAAATGGCATATTGTAGGTCCCAAGGGTAGAACTTTGTTGTGTGGTATATTAGCTACAGATGGCACAGGAAGAGGTTTCTGAATATGTAACAAAACCCTTCGTAATACTAATTTTGATTGTCGAGACATTCTTCCTTTTTCTGCACTGCCAGTGAGAGCTGGCAGAAAGTCCTGTGCTTAAGGAGATGGGGGGAAAAGGTTTGAGTAGTAATGCATTTTCTGAACTTGGAGAAACAGGTAGTTAGACCTTGATAGAAATGAAAAAGTGATGTGCATATTTAAAGAGCTCTGGAATATAAAAATATTTATTTCAGTTAGGCTGGAAGTAATTATGAATCTTTGAAAAGCTGAGTGACTGGGGAGTGATAGAATTGATAGTTTAGAATTAAATAAAGTGGAGGAGTGAGTTGTGATGAGAGCTGTCTGGTAAAAGCATATTTAGTGTGTGAAAGAAACCAAGGAACTGAACGAAATAATACAAAAGGGTAGGAGAGGTTTAAATTTAAAAAAGGCTCATGTTTTTCCTTGCCTAAACCACACTTAGCCTCTTTCTTTCCCAAACTGATGAATTGGTAAGCGTAATGAATGTAATCATGGTGCTCTTTCTCGTTTTGGAAGGTGTTTCCCAAGAGCAACAATAATCAGTGTGAATGCTTTGATTAAAAGCACCACTTTTACATCTAGCTTGATGTTTTTAATTATGATGCCTTTGTAACTTTACACATTCATTTATCTTTAAATCACTGATAAGACTATTTAAAGCTACAGGTCTCTATTTGCATGTATGTTTACGCGAATTTTTGTGCTGCTGAGGTTTCATAAATATCAGCTGAGTAGTAATGCTTTTATTCTGTAGGTGGACAGATATTGTCACTGACCTAAATACTCAAAATCCAGAATATCTAGATATTCGACACCTAGAGAGAGGATTGCAACATCGAAAAACAAAGAAGGTAAGGTAAACTCACTAAGATAGCAGGAAACTCATTGTAGGTTTTTGCAAACTTACTCATACTTCAGCAGTGTAAGATAACTTCACTAAAGGAATTTATTCTGTTATGAAGTGTTGCTGAAGACAAAGGTATAGTGTGGGTTCTTGCATACCAAAGTCATTTAGATTTACTTGATGGACAAGATAAATATCACTAGCTTGGTGTATGCTAGGATGAACCAGGATATCTGTGTATACAGAATGTATTTGGTCAGAATATTCAACTTGGTAGGTTTAAAAGGTAGCTGCAGCAAAAATGTTCTGCAGAGAAATTTGGGGTATGACCCTCCAATGACATTTAAGTGGGAAAGAAAGTACAGTTGAGTAGGATCATGCATAAAAGAATGTGTGCATCTCCCTTGTATGAAGTTACTGTCAATGCATGGGGCTTTCTTTCCTTTAGATAGGGTTATATCTCATGGGTGGAGGATGTATTTGTGGTTTGCAGATTGAAACTCTGTGAGAAATAATAGAGGAGATGATTTCAGGTGTGAAGACTCTATGAAAGACTGTGTCAGCAAGATGAGAATGGACTAGAACAGATAATTGCTGGGAAGGTAGCTAGAAAGTAAAAAAAGACTAGCAGAAAATAAGTGGTACTGGCCCCTTAAGGATATAATTGATAACTCAAAAAGATGAAAAAAAAAGCAGTAATTTAATCTGGAAAATAATCAGAACTGATTGATGCAAGCTGTATATTTTTGTATATGATTTTGTGCTGTTTTGTTGTTTGTTGGGTTTTTTCCCCCTGGTTTGTATGTTGTGGCACTTCTTGTTTGTTTTCTGTTTGAAGGTATCATGTTACTTGCTAAAATGTTGATGTCAAATACCTATGTATGTTAGAAATGTACCTGTGGTATGCATTTAACAAAGAACCTTTTTTAATTTGATTAGGTTGGAGGAAATCTTCATTGCATCATTGCCTTTCAGAGACTTAACTGGCAAAGATTTGGTCCTTGGAATTTTCCATTTGGGAATGTGAGACAGAATAAACAATCCCAAACACAGGGACAAGGAATTTCCAAATCTGAGAGTGAAGACAATATATCTAAGAAACAACATGGGCGACTGGGTCGATCTTTCAGTGCTAGCTTTCATCAAGAATCTATGTGGAAGAAATCTAATCTTCGGGAGAGGAGGAACAGTGGATATCAAAGTTACAATGATTATGATGGAAATGATTAAAATTAACTTTAGATTATAGAGTTGATACATTAAAGTTAGTTTTAATCAAAACATATTAGGGATTTATTAGTCCTAGAACACATAAGAATAGAAATTATGGTATAAGATACAGCTTCATAATTATTAAATAAATATGTTGATATGGTTGCAATAGACGAGACCTGATGTATAAAGTAACAGATAAGCACAGATTATTGTAATTTTGCAATCAAAGGTGAATATGATAGCAAAATCAATCATTTCTTTTGAAATAATTGTACTATGTCCTGATATGTGAAAACAAAAGAGCAGGTTGAAATCAGTCAATGTAATAAACAAACTTCATTGAATATATTTATTGTTAAAAAGCATGAAAAATTATAACATTGTAAAAAAGGGTTATTCTGCAAATGGTGTAAGGATAAAAGAAAACATTGCCTTTATTTTTAGCACTTCATTTTAGTAAGGCTGCCCATATCCAGTGCAAATGAAAAAAACCATCACATAGGTTAGAAAACCTTGGATTTACAAAGAGAATGTAGATTCTCAGTTTAAGTCCTATTTGGCTTCTGTCAGTCAGATAATCATATCTTGTCAAGAAGGTCTCAGTTTCTTTTCCCTTATCTGGTTGCCTGTTTTTGACTGTGAGGAATCACCTGTTCAGGCACAGTAATTCTCTATTATTTTTGCTCTGTGGGTAAAGGGGCTGAATTCTTACCCTGGAGCCTCTTGAGAGCACGGACTCACTTAACACAAGCTTATGAAATTCAGTATTAAAAGCTGCATTTACCATTAGCCAAATAAGCTAGCTGAACACTGAGTTCTGTTGGCAGTTCTTTTCCTTGTTCAGTCTTGCAATCTCTGTCCTTTGCTGCTTTTTTCATTTTGTGTGAAGGGGATGCAAGTGCTGAAAATTGCTGGTCACCCCGATGATATACCTCTCAGCCAGCACACAATTCAAGCATTTTCAGGTGTCCCAGGTGCATTCTTTTTCCCTGATAAATCCAGTTGTTTGCCCAAACACATCTCAACAGTTGTGTTGTTCTGTGTACAAATGTTCATACCTGCTCAAGGATTAATTTTTTGACATAAAAAGATTTGTCATGGAATGCAGGGGTTTTGTAGGTTGCTGCTTTTGTTAACCAAAAATGGGAGACTTTTAGACTTTTGTTCATTCAATAAAATTTGTTTTCTATCTTGTTTGCTTTTCATTTATTTCGGAAATGATGGCCCTACATTTAATAAAGGTCTTCAGCAAAGTAGGTGACAGATCAGAGTTGCAACTACTGCTTAGTGAAGTAGGTAGGATTTCTTCAGTCATAAAAAGTGGTGCTCATTGCAACCACTGTGACTTCTACTATTTAATTTTTCAAAGCCTGCAGCCTCATGACTAAACAAAACCCATAGGTTTTGAAATTTTATTTTCTGTGTGAACTATTTTCAGAGCCTGTTTTTGCAAGCTGAGTTTGGGCTGAGGGCTCAGCTTTGATTGGAGTACTTGAGCTGTGTTCTTTAGGGGATTGAGGACTTAGCCAGAGTTACATGTGTGTCTCATAACTTTTGCTTAATAATGATAGTGGCACTGAGGAACAGGATCTCTTCTGTGATGGTACTGGCTGTTCTGCTTAAGTAGATGGTTTTAAGTAAATTGGGATGAAATTCTGGTTTTACAGTTATTTTGTTCTTGGGTTGGAGACTGTCACACTTTATCCACAGAGTATGTAGTATAGGGATTCTTCTATTATTAGCAGGAGCCAAGTTCATGTCCTTGGGGTTGTGCTGCAGGGAGCTTTCCCTAGGGATTTCCGGATGGTGGGATGCCTGCAGTGGGGGGCACTGGGACTGTGGTTGAGGCAGAACAGGGAGAGCACAGGCTGCAGGGGAAATCATGTTTGGGAGTGGGAAAAATAGGACTACTTTTGGTCTGCATTGTGGGATTTTGTTCTAGGACAGGAGACTTTTCATTCTCCAACCAGAGAAGGGGAATAGAGCTGGTAAAGGCTCTGGAGCACGAGTCCTGCGAGGAGCAGCTGAGAGAGCTGGGGTTATTTAGCCTGGAGCAGAGGAGGCTCAGGAGTGACATCTCTCTGAAACATCTGAAAGGAGGGTGTGTAACCAGGTTGGGGGCGGCCTCTTCTCCCAGGTAACAAGTGACAGGATGAGAGGAAATGGCCTCAAGCTGCACCAGGTGTGATTTAGGCTGGACATAAGGGAATTTCTTCACAGAAAGGGTGATCAGATGCTGGGACTGCCCAGTGAGCTAATGCAGTTAGCGCTCCGGAGTGTTTAGACTGGACGTGGCACTTAGATCACGGTCCAGTTGACAAAGAGAGGTTCGGTCACGGGTTGGACTCGATGGCCTCGGAGATCTTTCCCAACATAACTGATTCTGTCTTTCTCTGCTGTTAGGTACTAGGCTCTCCTCCAGGCAGCCGAGGAGCCTAGCTGGCTCAGCTGCCGGAGCTGAAGGGGCGATGAGAGCCGCCTGCCCCGGTGTGCGGGGCGGGCTGTGGGCGGTGGCTCCTGGGCCGGGCCCTGCGCCGGCCCCACCCCGCGCACGGCGATTCCCGGCGGCCCGCGGGGCCGCGCCGGGCGGGGCTGCGCTCCGAGCGCCGGGAGGCCGCGGGCGGCCGGGCCTTGTCTCTGCCGCGTCCCTGCGCCGGGATCCGCTCCCCGCCGCAGGTCCGGCATCGCCACCCCTGCCCGCCGCTGTCCCTGCCCGCTGTCCCTGCCCGCTGTCCCTGCGCCGGGATCCGCTCCCCGCCGCAGGTCCGGCATCGCCACCCCCGCCCGCCGCTGTCCCTGCCCGCTGTCCCTGCGCCAGGATCCGCTCCCCGCCGCAGGTCCGGCATCGCCACCCCTGCCCGCCGCTGTCCCTGCCGCTGTCCCGGCCCGCTGACCCGGCCCGAGCGGCTGCTTCGTTATTTCCGTTTGAATTAATAAAGCAGTTACGGGCCGCATAATCTTTGGGTTATTCCTTCTTCTGTGCCTTATAGATTGTCTCTCAAAGCAGCTAAGGAAGGACAATGGGAGTTCAAGGACTTTGGAAGCTGCTTGAATGCACCGGGAGACCCATAAACCCAGAAACGCTGGAAGGGAAAATTCTTGCTGTTGGTATCCTTTAAAAGTAAAGCTGGGTAATCGAAATTGCAAGGGTGATTGTTTTAACTATTTCCCTTATTTACAAGAGATGTTATTGTTATTATTATTGCATTTAAATTGCATTTAAATTGCATTTTGGTAAGTAGAAGGTTTGCTTTACAATTGTAAAATACTAAGCTCTTTTATTTTCATTGTTTAAAAAATAGACTCTTTTTAACAGGTTCCTTATACAAGTGTTGGACTACAGAATTTTACACTTTATAAATAAATGTGCTGCTCTCCGTAGGACTACAAGATGGAGAAGTTTTATGCTTGTGCATCAGCTTTCCTGTCCTGTATACTTGATTAAATGCTAGGAAGATGTGGAAGGAAGTTACCCGTCATTTACCTGTAACAATAACTGGGGAGGTATTTGCTGTACTTTTGCTTCCACTTTATTTTTTGTGCAATAGGGACAATGATTTATTCTTCTTCCAAGCTCATAGCTATTTGGATATTCTCGGTTTTGGTGAGACAAACTTGGAGCCATGGGCAACAGCCACTCAGTCAAATCCGTGCACTTTATAGGAACTCCTAATATGGTATATGTGTAAAAGAGCACACTTTTTCCTCTCAATGGTTCTTTAAGATATCAGTATTTGGTTGAACCAAGCAATAAAGGGAGCCAGAGATCGTGGTGGTATTTCTGTACGGAATGCTCACCTGCTCACTCTGTTTCATCGACTCTGCAAGTTACTGTTTTTCCGGATTCGACCAGTCTTTGTTTTTGATGGAGAGGCACCTCTTCTGAAGAGACAAACCTTGGTAAGTACCTTTGCGAGTTACTGCAATGTAAAAGAGGCTGTATATCTGCTGATGATAAGCAGCCTTTTTCAATTTCCTTCCTGTTGTTCTGCTTACGTTTCTGAGCTGTAGGGATGGAGCATTGAAGTCCACTGCTCTGCAGGTGTCCTTTGCAGTCCCAGCCTGAGTTAGCTCCTGGAGCATGCAGCAGCTCTTTAATCTAGGCAGGTTTGATTTGCACTGGAGCCAGGTTGCAGAGAAGTGGATGCAGAGAAGCCTGGCTTGTATTCCAGAATGGACCTGAATGGAGCTCTGCAGGCATTTATACCCAGAAGCTGAAAGCTGCTCCTGAGTCCCACAGAGGAAATGGACATAGATTTAGAGGCTCTGAGGGCTCTGTCCCTCTTGGTGTAGAATGAGTTAGGAGTAGCTCATAGGCTCAGCACATAGAATTTTAATAGGGATTCACTGGATGTGCATCTTCAGCATCTAGCAAAATCTTGTTGGTGTTAATCTTATTTTCATAGGCAAAGCGAAGACAAAGAAAGGAAATTGCAATCAATGATTCCAGGAAAACTGCAGAGAAACTCTTGAAAACACTTTTGAAGAGACATGTTATCAAAACTGCTATTACAGGCAAAAGGCAAGAATAAAAATAATTCTTCCGTTGTTTATAAGTGACAGTAAGTCTTTCTGAAGCTGTTAATTGCTGTTTTTTTTTTCCCTAAGCAATGAAGCTTTACCCAGTATTACACAAGTTCAAAGAGAAGGAATTGATGATATGTATGTATTGCCTGCTTTAGAGGATGAAGAGAAGAATAGGTAGGTAGAATTAAGAAAAATAGCTTAAATGGTTTTTAATAAACTTGGGTAGAAGTATAAACCTATGAGACACTGTAATATTTATAAAGTATAGTTCTTTAATTTATATTTTATTTCAGTTTCTTTTTGGGTATAGAAGCCTCCTAGTTATTTATGGGAAAGTAACAGAAGTTTTCAGCCCACAGATTCATTTTCTACACTGGATTCATGTATAAGGATGAAAGTTCTACCTCAGTCTGTATGGCCATGTCCATACAACTAAATGGGATTGATCAAGCTTGGGTGTGGCAGGTTGATTCTGTTTTGTGTTGGCATGTTCAGCAGAGGCAGGCTTTGTCTGTACTTGTCACACCTGTGTCATCTTCTTAAATAACACTAAGTGAGAATGTGAAGCTGCCCTGTAGGTTATTCTGTGCACATCTGTACTTTTATATACTTCAAATGCTGACCAAGTAAGAACTGTGTCATGATCTAAATAGCAGCAGTTGTCTCCATCTGGTTTTAACTGACATGAGTTTGCCTTCTTACTTTCTGTTCAGATCTTTACAACTTGTGTGCATATTTATATATATACATATATATATGTATCTAAATATATATGCGCGTGTGTGTTTGATGCTGCAAATTTTTATGCTTGACCAGTGAAGGCATGACTAATGTCTTTTTGCTTAAAATAGAAACTCTGTTTTCCTCAGTAAATATCTGCACATTTGTTTTCTCTTTGTGATTTTTAGCTCAGAGGAGGAGGAAGAAAAAGAATGGCAAATGAGAATGAGCCAAAAACAGATGTTGCAAGTAAGTGCAACCTAGTTGCCTTGTTACTGTGGTCAATCGTCTCATTCATTTGCTGTGCTTAAAATACAAATAAAAAGCTTAGAAAATCCAATTTTTTGGAGACACAAGTCTTATTATAGCATTACTTATAAGAAAACAAGTTAATTTTCAGTACTCCAAAAATTCCTGTTAGTGAGGAAATATTAATATGATTTCTCCCCTAGAATACAGCAGAACAGAAAAGTCTTGTGGTAGCCTTTCTTTTTACTACTTCCTTTGAACATATGGAGAAGACATTGCTTTTTGTAACAATGTAGGAGAAATGCATGCATTTGTGCATGTGTATGTACATAAATAAAAGCATATTTAACAAAATTCCTGTGCTTCTCCAAATGTGAACTGAAGTTGAAGCACTTAAGTCCTTGTGTTTTCACAGATAAATTGTGTATTTGCTTCTGATCTGCTGATCTGATTGGAAGAGGAAAAGAGAAATGCATAACCTAAGAAGAAGACTAATAAATATTAAAATTATCTCTGCTTACGTCAATAGCAAAAAAAAAAAAAGAAACACTCTTGGGAAGATTGTTTATCTTTGAAGCAGTTCTCATTCCGGAGGAGAACCTCTTTAGAAGGACAAAATCTGAGTAGTTGAGGCTATATGACCTGTTTCTGTGTTTATACTAAATATCTTTTTGTAAAGAGAACAAAACCAAG